GTGCAGTTGCTTCTTCACAAGGCCAGGCGTTGTTTAGTCTGAGGGATTGAAAGAGTTTGATTTTTTCTCGCAATGTGAAGCCCGTGGATTTCAACTGCCCAGAGTCATTGCCCAGAGTCATTGGGTTGAAACTTGTTGTTCTTTCTTTGTTTGTTTACTGGCTCCGTTTCTTTGGATTTTGTTGTGACGCAGGTGCTTGGAGAGGTGGTGGAGAAACTTCTTGCTTGAGGCCTGGAACGCTTCCGGGGAATCAGGCACACTTTCTTTCCAGGTGACCTATTTGGAAACGGTTGGAATTTGGCTCGAAGATTCCTGAGAGGTTGCCCGTCTTAAGTGAAGACTACAATCAGCCATGAAAACCAGCAAGCTGGCTTCGATGCCATGGCTTCAGAAATACAAATCATGGTTGAAGAAGAAACGCTTCTTTGCCACTCCCCATTTTGTGAAGGGGAAAGTTGAAGGCGCTCGTCGGGCTCCTCTGCGACGGATGACACGGCATATCCAATGCGATGAGTGTGATGAAATTAATTTTTTGGCTGAAACATTATCCTTGGGATCCATTTGGGCCAGATCGGGGTTTGAGAGCGATGACAGTCAGTGCTGCTGATTCCCCATGCCACTCCGGGAGTGGAAATGGCTGTGGAGTGCCGTTCACGGCATTTTCCTGGTCGAGATGGAACATACTAGTTTGAGGGCAAGCCAGAAATCTAGGATCTATGATCTTTGATTCAAGCCTTGTTCGCCACAGGCTGCGATGGGCAGTTTCACGCTTGGGGTTAAAACCGTGTGGGTTGTTTCTTGGTGCTTTGTAACTCAACAGGAGGACGCGTAGTATCAGATTGTTTGGCGTGTGAGCCGCCAAGTAGTGCGTTTGATTCTTCCACTTTTTGGACTCGAGAGTTTAGTGTTAAATTTGTTCCCTCCTGTTGCTTCCTGCGCTGTGACATGGCTTCGTTGGCGGACAAGCTTTTGACGGTCACTTTGACAGCTGACCAGCTTGAATCTGGGAAAGAATGCTGCCGCAGCATTCTTGAAGAGGTAAAGTATCAGGAGGATTTAGACTGGGTCGCTTGGCAAGCTGTGTGCCACAGCTTAGCGCTTGCCAGCCTTTCCTTGGACAACGAGAAGAAGCCTGAGGACTTTGCAGACGTGAGCATTGACACCATAGCTCCCCGCTTCCGATATGGCAAATGGTCCATAGATAATTTGGCCAACCATCCGCGCTCAAACTTGCTATGTGAGGAACTGATGCTGCTCCGATGATGTCTCGCGAAGCTTCAGAACACCGATGGATTTGCTACATCTGTGATCTGGGATGTTGATGCTTTGGTGGCTGCCATGTTGGCAGGTTAGTCACGCGTGGGCCGATCTTGATGGCAGTGAAACTTATACAGTATGTGAAAAAAGTGCTGTCGCCTCATTGATTCTTCGGATGTCTGGTTGGACTCTGTCAGTGTCAGGCGTTCCTTAGTTTGTGATCATGTTTTTTTTGCCAGGCCACGTTGGACCGTCGATATGGTTGTGGCCCAAGTGGTTGAACATTGTTTTATAGCCTCATGAGCTGCAAATTTCAGGCAGTGGAAGGGCCGTGGATACTAACTAGCTGTACGTGAAGGCTGGGGTGGGACTGCTGCAGGATTTGAATTGCAAACGGCTTTGGATCTTTGATTGTCAGCGTCACTCTCTATGCTTGTTTCCGCTTCAAGATTCGTGCAGGTCTTTTGGTCTGTTATTTACACAATCAGATGATCAATCTTACAGTTTTGATGACCCATTGCCACGGTAAATTTCATGTTTCATTAGACGATTGGAGTCCTGGGGTTGCCATGGCCTGGTGGCGGTTCCTAGCGCTCGTGACACTCATGTTTACCTTGCTGCCTCCTGTTGAGGGTTGCAGTGATGATGAGGTAGCTGCAGCCCCACAAGCTTTGCAGGTTCCCCGCGGTAAAAGTCTCAGGTCTGGCCAGACGACGAAGGCATTGCACGGCCGAAAGTTGTACACCAAGTTTGCCATCCGAGCTAGTTTGAACCTGGTTTTGAAAAAGTTGTGTCCGTGTGCCAAGCAAAGAGCACGCTCTTCCAGAGGAAGGTCTTGCTTTGCCCCTTTCTCCAACGAGAAGTATGTGGCGCAAATTGTTGATCTGAGATCATCATGGGGTCAACTCCACAAGCAGGATGCCGATAACAAGGTTGGCACTCCTTGTGCGACACCGGTTTAGATCCAGAACATGTGCATGCTCCGAAGTTTTTTTGTTGAATTGTAGTTGGAATTTTTCCCTGTACCAACTCCTCATTCCTTGAGTCCTCGCTCCCATCAGGTGATCAAATTGTTGAAGGATTGCAAGCACGGTGGGCAGACAATCTTTTTGGGAAATCACCTGTGCCAAGAAGGGCTAAGGAGCCTTTGGGGTTTGGGCTCAGCTCGATTTCGTCGTCTCCTTCGATGCTCTGCAGAAGGCTTGGATGCTCCGGTTGATGGCAGAAGTCTGACTAGGTCTTCGATGCATCGTTGTACAAAAAAACTAGAACATCGCATCAAGGTCGTTGAGTTCCTCCAAGAGCTCTATGAAACGTTGAGTGAACCGATGCCTGAGACTCAAGGGCCGGTCCGAGGAAACAAGGACATGAAATTCCGCCGCCACTGCGGCAAGAGACCAAAGGCTGGGGGTTCCACGCAGTCTTTGAAAGTCCGTCGACAGATGAGATTGCTGCCTCCGGGGTCGTATACTGACTACTTGAACATGCTCCGCAGTCGATGGCCTGGTGAAAGATTTTCGCTCAAGCTGTTCACGAAGGCGCCTAATTTCATGTTTCTTGTTTGTGCTGTGAAAGGTTGGATCGAGAATGTGGCCCCGAATGCTTTTTGCCTTGATTCCACTCTGTTTCCGCACATGTCCATGCTCGAAGGTTTGGGGAGAACACTTCCGGGAGCTTTTGGGTATTCGAGAGAAGAGCCACCATGCAACTTGCACTGTGTGCTTGAAGCACAAGCTGATATTGAGAAAGTTACAGTCAGACCGCTTGGCCCATGAGGCTCAAACAAAGTTGTATGGTGCCCACATTCGGCATCAGTACGAGGATCGGGTCCTATATTGGAGCACACGATCCCAAAGCCGATTGGGCACGCTTCAGCATGGCTATCGTGTGATTTGCTGCATACTGGATGGCATGGACAAATCAAAATTCCGATGCCCTCGCAGCATCAACGTTCAGGCAAAGGAGTTTGCCTCCTTCGTCCGCCCTGCTGTTGATGTCCATGGTGTGTTGACACACGGCCATATGGCAGCACTCTATCTCAGCGACGCCAACATTCCAAAGGACAGCAGCTGGTGCACGGACATCCTGTGCAATGCGTTGGACGAATTGGGTCGCTCAGTGGACCTACGAACGGTCCGATTTGTGGCGCAAAGTGACAACACCACTCGAGAAGTTAAGAATAACACGATACTGAGGGCAATGGGGTACTTCGTTGCCACCCGCCGTTTACATTCCGCAGAGTTGCGAACTTTGCGCGTGGGACATTCCCACGAAGACATCGATGGCTGGTTCAGCCAACTCAATTCCGTTCTCGAGTCTACCAACGAACTGCGCACGCCGGAGGCATTCCGGGTTAGGTTGGACCAATACCTGCAACTCTCCACCACCCGGCCGTATACGAGAATCAGAACAAGTTCACCAAGTTGGTAAGGAACGTGCGGGACTGGAATCTGATCCTAATGTTCAGATGTTTACGCTCAAGTTTTTTATCGTTCTTCTACTAGTAACTCTTACTCCTTTTTGTTGATCGTTTGCTCCAACGATCCGATGTGGAATGCTTTCAGGAAGAACTTTCTGTCTCTGCGAATGTGCGGAAACAATCTCAAGGGGATCGGCGGACCAGGCGCCCCTCACACTTTCGTATTTGAGAGATTTCGAGATACAGGCGGGCTTGTGGTTGAAGTCGGTTCGGTGAGTCTGTCTAGTCTCACAAAGTTTGTTTAAGAGCCCCGAAAGTTTGAGGCATCGATCGACGAGCAGTGGACGACCGTTTTTGGAAACGACTCCTTGGAGAGTTCAACGACCCTGACGATGTTATTCTCAGGACTGCTTTCTTGACTTAGTCTCCTGTGGCTGCTGTCCGTTTGTCCGCTTCCACTCCGTTTGTCATCACACCTTAAAAGCCTGATGGTGTTCGGGTCTGTGCGTTTACTTTCTGTCAGAGTATGCATTTTCAGGCAGACAAATCACATATATATATATATATAGTTTTTAGTTTTTATAGTTTTGAATCCTAGAGCCTCACACTTTATAAACCTGAACCCTAAAGCCTAAACACGATAAACCCGAAACCGGATCCCACGACGAGGACGCGCCAGTACATGAGCGACGAAAACTGGCGTGGCAAGCCCATACTTTATCTTCCGGCATGTGTGGCACGGAAGATTGCGCATACAAATCCATTACCACCAGGCTGACTTGTGATTATTTTTTTGCGAACTCTGATGGCACAGTGGGCAGCCAGCCCGCTTCCGTTTCTTTTTTGCCTGGCAGTCAGAGTGGAAGATCGACCGGTTGAAGCCAAAACGCGGGAGCATTGGCTGAAGTACGCTGAAACCATGAGTTGCAACCTAAGTGTTCTGCAAAGAGCACAACGATTGAAACATGATCTGTCTCAGGGGCTGACCCCTTTTCGACGCACGAAGCTGCCGATTACTTGGTGGACCTGGCGAACGATGACTTGCCTCGTGGAGAACCTTTGGCCGTTACGAGGAGCAATTTTTTGAGGTTGCAATCTTTTTTCGAAGAACAATTTTTTTAGGGCAATTTTCAAGATGCACGGTTACTGTTGCTTCGGAAGCGAAGCAGGATACTTCCAGTCCCTGGCCCGGCAGTGGGTCCGGGTCTTCCTGGGCGCGGAGCGCGCGCTGTGAATTTGGACCCTGACACGCCCTCAGAGACTAGCACCGTTTTAGTATCACAAGTGTAGGTCGGTGGCAGCCACTATTATTTTTGGAACTTAGGAGCCGAATGAGTTGGAGATGCGGTATGAGAGAATTCCGAAGCAGAATTTAGATCGCTACCGTGTGGTACGCAAAAGACACTATATCTACAGAGCTGCTGCAAGATTGTGGCAGGAAGGTGTTGCCTGGGGAAAGGCACTAGAAATAGTTACAGAGGCGTTTGATGGAGCGTGCCATGAAGCCTGATTGATGTGCAGTGGCCTTGCCCGTGGAACATTATTTTTTGTTTGCGTTTTCTGTTTCAGAGCAGAAGGAGTTGGCCTAGGGCCAGTGATTGTACTATGCGTACCAACCGAAGTTGTTTGATGATTCTCGACATTGTTTGAACCGGTTTTGTTGTGTGTGCACGACAAGATTCTTCTCGCGCAAACAACGGCAGACTACCAGCTGTGGAGCCTGCACATCGAAGTGCTTCTTTTGTTCCACGCAGCACAAAATGCAACCTTCTGCAGAGAGAGCCAGCTGTGCATCCAGCCATTGGTTGCCAACACTAAACACTACTGCCACCAGAAGCTCGCTACATCAAGAGTTTGTTTTTCAGCTATCTCTGTTTTACCGGTCCCTGAGCGCATTGGCTTCGTGCATGCAGGGGTTGGCTGCATGCACACACTGGGCCCGCGTGGCGCATGTGAGTTCTGTGCCAAGTGTATCCTTGACGCGCCCAACTTTAACTTCTGGACAGAAAAGGTCAGAAAATTCGGGTGCGGCATGGTAACTTACAGGGCAATCGTTCTGGTTACTATACGCTGTCCCTCCGGTGGCAATGTACATCCAAAAATTCACTTTGCGCAGCCACACGCCCCCCACATGCACAAAACGGTGGTTGTGTTCTACCCGAGTACACAAAACCGATGCCTCGTTGTTAGTTGCCTGCACAAAACCAAGCCTTGTTGTTGCCAGCCTGCGCAAACTTTTTTGCTGTGTGCAGCAAGACCAAACGGTGGGTGGTCATGATTTATCTTTCTTCAGCCAGGCCAGTGTTTGCAAGAAACACCCTTGGCTTTGTCAAGAGCCGGAGAGGAGGACTTCAAAGAGTTTGCAGTCCATGTGTCAGTGTCTTGCTAAGTGTTAGATCGACATTTTTGGAAACAGTTTTTCCAGCTTCATTTTTTGTTTGCTACTGTAGGACGCCGGTTCGTGGTTGCCAGCTTGCGTGCGACCTAAGTTCATGGCGCTAGAAAGGAATCGGTGACCTCAGTTCTTGACATTGTACTTTTACAGATGCAGTCCGCATAGCATTTTTTTCCTGGACTTTAGTGAGCTCGAAGGTTGGAGGCTCAAAGGTTGGCGGGGCCTCTGTGGGCCTTGAGATGGGCAAGCGCCCTTCAAGTGGCGGTGGCGGCGACGCCAAGAAGACCAAAGCAGCCAAAGCATTGGCAGGGCCATCCTCAGCGTCCGATTCCACTCACGATGGTAGTACTGGTCCTGTTCAACTTTTGAAAGCTGGTCGATTCTAGAACGCACAGACTTCGGAAGTCAAACGTTCATCAGTCAGCCGAGTTCACTTTTCTTACAGTAGTTTTTGTTAAACAAACATAAACAAACGTTCATCATCCTTACTCATATCAGGAATGATATCTTGGCTGTTCACTCTTCGATCGACCGCTACTTTGCCCACATTTTTGAGAGTCGGGACTGAATGCGGTAAGTTTTCTTCACGAGTGAATCTCTTATCGAGCAATTCAGCCGTTTCTTCATCACCAAGTTTTTTTTGCCAGGAGAAACTGATCGAGTTCCTCAGTTGGATGAACACGCAGTTTCCTGCAGAAGCTGGAAGGCAGCAAACGATAGTGTATCAGTTGTTTTCTGTTTTTTTGGCGGCAGGCATTATGCCCGGGAGACAGACATGATGAATATTGGAGGGGTGTTGCTACGACCTTTTCATTTGACTTTCAGTGCCAGTTGCGGCATGAAGGGATTGATCGAGCCAGCTACTCGCCTGAGTTGTCAGGTTTACGTTACTTGAAGTCAGCTTTACTTGAAGAGATTGGACTTGAAGGACTTTTGTTTGACAGGATACCCTTTTGGCACTGTGCCAGCTCATCATCAATCGCGGGTGCGGACCTTGGATAGGCTATGGAAGAAGACACGGATCAGCGTTCCATCGCTCACCCAGGTTCTTGACGGATGCGGACATACCAGGAACAGAGAAGCTGGCAATTAGTGCCACAAGACCCGACGCAAATATCAAACCGCCACATCATATCACTTGCTCAGACATAGGAGTGAAAGGGGAGCTCCTTCGGCCAATGAATTTGATGTTTGTGAAGGGTTGGAGTCGTTCCATGGCGGCCATCACTCTGATGCGGTGCATGTATGAAAGCGAAAGTTTTAAAGAGGCGGGATACTGACTGTGTTTTGAACTATATTCCAAACAATACTGTTGTCAGTAAACTTTTAATAAATCAAATATCTTTTTGGACAGGCATGGGATACAGCTTTGAGCTCGTCCCTGGCCTGAGAAGTTACTTGTTGTGTTGGGTTGCAGTCCTGACAGTTTTGGGTTACTCTGATTCAGTTGGGTCAGGACTTTGCGATCGATTCACGGCACTGTTTGCGTTGTGCCTGGTGAGTCTTCAAGTCAATCATTGATGGAGCAAAACAGAGGTTTGCTTGCATTTTGCTAGAATCACCCAATGCGTTCATTTTGATGAACCAAAAGTGATCTTATTCTGAATTGGTTCATCCTTTGGCCAGGTATCACGCTAGCTTCGGCTAGCGTGCGCCGCAGACCGAATGCATTCAACCTCGTCCACCAGATGAAGCTGATGAAATCCTTGGGGACCGAAACGACCATTCAGGCCACTCCATGTCATGCTTTTGGTAGACATGATATGTCTCTCCCTCTCTCTGCACAGGAGTGGAACTCAGCGAACTCCTTGATGACCAGCATGCAAATAGGCCGCCTTGAAGCGGGAGCCGCTTACAATCTTATGGCACAAATAGATGATGCTGTGGTTCAGCGGCTTACGAACATGGTGAAGTGGCTTTGTAGACAAACAGCTTGAGTTACTGTTACTGTCATGCCCATGTGATGATGGTCAGCTCTTTTTAGAAGTGTGTCCACTGTTGCTGTGAGACTTGTCAACAAATATGCCTTGTGTGTGAGATTTGTCTCAGGACGTTCTCCATGGTGAAGTTTCTCAACCACGATGCATTAGCAGGGGGACTGTTCAACAGGTACCAAAGCGTTACCACACCAAACCAAGCTGCATGGGCTGATGTGCTCGTCAACACGACCGAATCCTTGCTGCTTGTGTGTGACCGCATGAGTGAAGATTTTTCTGCAACATTGCAGAAGTTGCGCAAGCCGTGGAATGCTGCAGCAATTGAGACTTAGACTATGTTTTTAACAGATGGACATGTTTTGGCTCGAAGACATGTCCAGTTTCTACTAGTCAGTTACTGGTTTTGCATTGCTCAGGAGAACCTATGCCGGTTGTGTTGCGTTTATGAAGTTTGCTGCCGCGCGTTTGTGGAAAAATACCCCACTGAGTTCACCAATGTCGAGCTTCCCAAGATTCAGAAAGCGACACTTGACATTAATCATTGAACACCAGGTCACCAGGACCACCACTTTTGCTTCAACCACAAACACTTGTCATTGTGCCTAGTAATAGGGTGATGATTGAGTCGAGGTTTCTTTGCAAACATGCCGACGTGGACTTAGCTGGATTATTGCAAGACTCGGTCCCTCCCGTGGAATTGGATCGAATCAGCATCTTCCGCAGTGCCATCCGAAAGTTCGACAAAAAGGCAAGCTCAACAAAATGCATCTGAATTTTGACCCTATGTTGACTTGTCCAGATTGAAGACGAGAAGCTTCAAGCCGCGGAGAAGTCACTGACTCAGTAACCCCTGAGAGTCTGTCTTACAACACGTTCTGAAGTCTTTACAGTACTGAAAGTTACTTTGTGTCTATGGTTCAGGCTTGCAGAGATGGTTGCCAAAGCCTCTTTCCAACAAACAGAAACAAAGGTGAAGGCCTGGTTCAGACTTCAATGCTCAGCCGAATTTGTTTTTGACTTTGAACCATAGTTTTGGGATAGCAATCGGTGGTTGGACTTGCAGGACGACATCGACCTGCTCTCCAAGCATGTGACCAAAGTTCAGCAGGATGCAGACCGCCAGGCACAGACTCAGCACAGTGACCAGTGTTTGATTTATACGGCGAATTTGACAGGGATCGCTGGACTTGCAATACCTCAGCCAGCGCTTCCAGAAGGGTCAGCAGGCGGTGATCAATTTCACGCAGGAGAGACACAAGTACGAGACCGTGGAGAGCTTCAGGGATTGTCACGCCAGCATATTAGACTGGCAAGCCAAGTCTGGAAGCAACAACCCGCAGCTCGTTATAATGTTTGATTGCCTAAAAATTTTGGCAGGAACACCGACATCCACTCTCAGATTATCAGATTCCATCTTAAAGTATCATTGTGAGTTCATCAAACTGCAAGTCAAGGCATACTTTGATGATCTTGGATCTCTCTTTGTGGCCTGCAAGCCTAGGACTCAGCTTCAATGATAAAATATATGCATATATCATATCCGTGTTGAAACATTTCAACTTGCGATGGTCAAAGCGCCAAGGAGCCCTTGCGATCAACGAAGCCTGTGACCTTGCCAAGAGTATCCTGAACGGAAACTCCAATAGTCTGCTTTTGGCGCTGCAGCCGATTCATCATGCGAGCACTGACCGAGCGTTCGTGGTCCGAAACCGGCGGGCGTTGGAAGATTTGCTTGGGGGGGGCGACGTTTGGTTGCAAATAAGGCAGGTTGGATTAAGTGTGGTTTGCGTGTTCCATGTTGGTCCTTGCCAAGTTCTTCCCACTTGGTTCTGACCCAGGGCAGCGGAAGTGCAAGATTTTGCACTTACTTTCAAAGACAGTGGACATGGAGGGGACAAAAGAAAACGCTCTCAACAAGGACGCTCATGATGGCGGTGGGTCAGTGCATGTTAGCCTGGTTTTCGTTTTTTGTGTTGGGTCGGCAGGGCACTTTCTCCACCCGTTCTGTCAAGAGATGATGTTATTACTGTGTGGTTCCTGGCAGGATATGTGTGCTGCAGCGCCATCCACAAGCAGGGTGGGTGGCACAAGTCCAAGGTGATGTTGGGCACCTTGGGGCCTGTGAGCAGGGCCCGGGTGTCGGAGTTGTGGCGAGACGATGGGAATCCCGAGTCACCT